AAGCTGACCAACAAGGGTTTTGTCGAGAACAATCGATGGCCACAAACGGGCCATATTCTAGAAAATTGTCGACAGTGAGACCTGGTGCAAGATCATCGTTTCCACAATAGCTCTTCTGGAATCGTGAAAACGCATCATACAGAATCGACCATTTGCTTTTATCGAAATCCAGATTCATATCGTCATATGGATAACATTCCGAGTTCAGATAGAGTTTTACGGTGCTCAATTTGCAGTGATTGAATTGACTCACATTCTCAGACATGATATTCTTTCGATTTGTTTGCAGAGCTAAAATAACATACCGCGGCTTCTCGAGCTGAGTAGCCGTTTTAATAGCCCACGAATGCTTAGTCGTCTGCTGCAATAGTGGAAACTTATAGAGATCCCATGAACGAAAACCCATGTTAAGGTATTGTCCGCTTTCCGAAGCAGCCAGTATCGATAGCTTGTTCACCTCGTTTAACAGCTCATGCGGCATTCGCCATTGTATCTTAAATATTTCAAGCTGCGGCTCCAGTGCTATAGCTCCAAACAGACAATTGTTGTTGCGCGATCGTATTAAAATCAATTCGTGACGAGCGTTAATCACCACGCGTTTGTAATCTTCACAGAATCCCAATAGCATGCTGAGCGGTACGCAAAAATTGAAATCTCCCTTCCCATTGTTCGACACATCCCAACCGGCATTCTTCAGAGATATCATTTTATCGAATGATGTCGAGACATAGGTCTTGAGCGTGCTGGTTATTCCGACATTTCTGGTACGATCAATCTCCACGCCATCAAGTTCATATCGAATCTCATCGAACATGAACGCGACGCAATTATTTCCCAGTATTACATCAGATCCTTCGATTTGTTTGGCTGTAGTTAGTTTTCCCTCAATGTTCAGAAAACTTTCATGTGGCAACGTATAGAGATCCTGTTGTTGTATAGGTATTCGTATCTAATCGCTGTATCCAAATGTTGTGTTGGCGAATGGATTGTATGTGTGAGTCTCAATCTTGACGATGCGATCGTCAAAGATTGGCTCCTTCCCGATGTTGAGGATGTCAGTCATTATTCAAATGTTTCGCACCGAGAATCCCAATGATTTTAAAAATTCCACGTTTGATGTATTGAGCTTCTTCTTCTTGCAGCTCCTGGATGACTTGATATTGCGATCAAACGTTGATGATATCGTTGGTTTCTTCAAAATTGCGTTATTTCTCACAATTTGCTCCGATCCGTTCAACACGAGCATAGCATATACACTGTCGCGCGCGCACGTTATCGCTTACAGCGTCGTACGTGCAATCTAACGGTAATCTCTTCTCCACGAAAGTCGAGCAATCGTCCGTTCTGGTCGACAACGCGTATGGTTAGATCCGTAAAACTCCGTGTGATGATCGGCAGATAAATGATTTGCGATGGCGCTATCGACATCTTATATCCTGGCGGCACGCTCGGCGAAAACTCGTGTATCGTGTGCACGGGCTTGTTGCTGTACGCACCCGCGGTCACATTGCACTCTACGCGGATAATATTCACGTTGATAATGTTAATCGGTAGGTCCGATTCGTGCCATTTTCGCGGTTGCAATATACGCGTCGATGAGAATCCCAGAAGCGATCCAATGCTGTTAGGCTTGTTAAAGTTTATTCTGAAGGCGCTTATAATTTCACTCTTCATCGTATTGTGATTAGCGCGCAGTACTATCGGATATTCTTCATTTTCGTCGATATCGTTTGTCTGAACATCACCGCGTTTTTTATCGCTGTTATTAGTACCAGCCATGAGACGTTGGCGTGGACGTTTTCGTGAAATTGCATTTCTCAAAAACTCATTTATCGCTTGCAGTTCGTAGGATCCTTCGGGAATTGTAATTTCCGTATCGTCAAAGTAAAATTTATTATTCGAAGAATTCACGTTCGATATCGTGTTATAAGTTTCAAAATTCATCAAACCGAGCTCGTAGTCACCGTCACTCAAATCTATCGCTGGGAAGTAGTTTACCGCGAGCACGGTGCTCTTTCCCGTTAGCGTGAGTGTCAACGACATGGCGAGAAAACTATCCAACGAATACTGAGTCTTCGCGACGTCTCGCCAGACTTTAAATTTGCATGAATCTATCGTCAACCGTTTGGAGAAACCGTAGACACAGCTGTCTGCAGATACTTTGATCGTAGGTCTGATAGATCGTTCGATTGTACTCTATCGTTTTCACCCCGTCTCCGAAATACTGCACCAGTTCTTTAGGCGGTCGGAGATTACCAAAACTGTCGAAATACACTACGTGGTTTCCCCTCTTTGCGTATGCTACCCAGTGAGTACCGGGACCTGCCGCGTCATCCAGATTCACGATACCGCTCTCATTTCGACGTATACCGCTCATTGGTAACATGTTTCGCATGAAGACACTTCTAAAGTGTCGTATACGCATTCGTCTTGCCAGTTGGTCCAATTGTATGTTCGTTGTTACACCAGTAGGCATTTTTAATGCTTTTTCGACGTATTTTTTTCCTTCCTTGTTTCGTTACACCCCGTCCACGTTTGTATGGAGCGAGATGTACACCGCGACCTTCCATCGCGCGATTGTGGCGTTGCTGCTCCTCGAGTTGACGTTGTGCAGCTTTGTTGTCGCTCACCACCTTCGCCACGCTCCACCGGTCATGGATCCGAGTACACCTAATATTGGTAGAAGCGGTAATACACCACCGCGTTTCGATACCGGAAGTATTCGCTTCTTCGCCGCTCTCTTCTTCTTCTTCGTTTTCAAACCCATACCGATCTTTGTCTTGGCTTTCATAGTCGCCCAAACAGCTGTAGCAGCAGCTTTCTCTCCCAGAGTCGAATCTCTGGCGGTAATGCGTTTCCGTGCTCTCTCGGCGAGCATCTTGTCCGCCACGTGTCTCTCAGCGAGATCCTTGCTACGCGAGTACGCAATGTCGTGTTCGCGGTAGGCCGCGTCCAATGGATTTATACCTCGTTCGCCCCTCGCCAATCGTTCTTCCAGACGAGTGCCCGGGCCACAAAACTGATAGCCTGGGATATGTAGTTCGAAAGGAAGCGCGTTTATCGTATAATTTAACAGACCACTGCCACTTTTTACCGCTGTTGCGATAGCTGGCATTGGTGGCAATTCTTAATCAGCGGTGCAGGACCGTCGATGTGCGTCCGCTGCCACGGTTGATTGTAATGTGCGCAACAGCGTCGATAAGTTTGAACCTCCGAATCCGCCTTTATATGTTCTGGAAGCTTATCCCACAGATACTCGACGTAATTACCATACACTTGTAACAGAACGACTTTGGGTACAAACTGTAACTGCTCGGCGGTTAAATCAAAGATATCGGAAGGATTTGACAGCAGTACGAACATCTTTGCTACTGAGAATCTCAGCTTTACGCTCCTCTATAAATAGGTCCGCGCTCTCTCTCTCGATTTTTACATAGTTCTCTCTCTGAGGAAAGAGCAATATGCGATTCGTGCGACAGCCATTAACGATACGCGTTATGAATTACGACGACAGATTACGGTCGATGGGAGGGGATAACGCTGAGAAACGCAAGCATGGTACAATGCTGCCGAATACTATACGCGCAATCATTTGCGGCCCCTCGAATTGTGGTAAAACCAACGTTTTGATAAGCTTACTGGAAAGTCCACACGGTGTATGTTTCGAGAATGTGTACGTATACTCGAAGTCGTTGCAACAACCGAAATATCAGTACTTGGAGAAGCTATTGACGTCTATCGATGAAATCGATTACTTTACATTCTCTAATAACAGTGACGTTATTCCACCGAGTGAGGCGCGTTCAAATTCAATTTTTATCTTTGATGACGTGGCATGCGATAAGCAGGATAGAGTGAGAGAGTACTTTTCAATGGGGCGTCACTCGAACGTCGACTGTTTTTATCTCTGTCAGACATACGCGAGAATACCAAAACATCTTATACGTGATAACGCGAACCTGCTAATCCTGTTCAAACAGGATGGTATCAATTTGAAACACGTTTACAACGATCATGTGAATACCGACATGTCAATTTAGGGATGGGCGATCTCGATTCGATTCTGCCAAGATCGATCTAAAAGGTTTAAAAAATCGATCTTTTGAATCGATTCTTTACTGTTTCGATCTTGTCTGAATCGATCCTTCCTGCTCAGAATCGACGAGTCGATTCTTCTTTCACACCAACTTGATAATTTCTGCCTGCCGGATGTGCATTTGTCCCGTCGAGCAGAAACTGGTCCACTTCGACCAATCGCGTTGCTCGATTCGGCCGTCCCAAATCGAGCAATGCGTTTGGTCGAAACCTTACCGTTATATCTTATAGCTCTTGCATATGAACGCGACGCGCGATTATCCAATGAGCGTACTGCTTTGCCATAAAACCTGTGTATGGTTATTGGATTATCGCGCGTCGCATTTTCGCGCAATTCGCACTGGTCTGCATTGTCTGCAAGAGCCATTATGGAAAGTGTGTGTGGCGTGGCGTGGCTAGATAGATTCCGGTTTCCGCTAGATAGTAGATCAGTGTGAAGAGTGCGCAGTGAAGCCAGACGCCAGTGAATAGTGATACGTGCCACGTGTGTAACACGCTCGTCGGACATTGCCGGATTTGCCGGTTG